AGGGGGGGGGGGGGGGGGGGGGGCGGGGGCGGGGAAAGAACGGGGGGGGGGGGGGGGGGGGAAACCCCTGAGGTCCTTCAGAGGATGTGGGGTAAGACACAACATGTAAACACGGAGCCACAGATGAACACGGAGCGGAGCAAGGTTCAGACCCTGGAACCTGCAGTCACCAACACTGATGTTGGTGAAGAATGGGATTTAAAGGAGAGCAGAAGATACATGAGAGAAACAGCTCCACCAGGGGGTGCTGAGGTTACCATAGTAACCACTAGGGCTGTGTGTTGTCAAGAATCTGGCGATACGACACGTATCACGATACGATATACTGTGATACTATGGTCCCAACAATATACTAACATTGGAAGAGAGGGATCTACATTTGGAATCACTAGAGAAGAAAGAAAAAAAGAAGGAAATGAACCAGGAATATTGGACTGGGAATTGGTGATAAAAAAAAAAATCAGGAAAGGAAAAATTGCAACATTTCAATGTATTGATATTTTCTTCCACCCCTAGTAATCAATTCTGTCTTTCTCGACCTTTGACCTAAATCATCCTCATAAAGGAAGACCTCTACTCCAACATCCTGATCCTGACTTCACTTCTGAACCCAGGGTCAGAGTGGGTCCACAGCAGCAGCACATCAACAACCATGGAGGGCTTAGGCAGCCCGTTTCAGTCCAGCAGTGGGTAAACTCCGCTGACCCTGCAGACCCAAGTGGACTAACTCACACAGACACACACACACACACACACACCCAAATATGAAGGGAACCACAATGGCACCAAACCCAGTGACTTATCACATTGTTGGCCAGAGGAGTGGACTCCAGGACCAGTCTGACCTCACCAAGGTAAAAATGGCAGCCACAGTTACTGTTCGACGGCCCAGACCGCTGCGGTGATGAGCTGGGCCGAGCCGGGCCGGGCCGCTGCCTATTTAAAGTTTCCCTCCCAGAGGTTCCCGTCTGTGTAACTGCTCAAGAGAGCTCAGAAAACTTCCTGTGGGGGGCAGGAGAGGGGCGGGCGGGGGGCACTTTATTTAGACGTCAACTTCCTGTTTGCAAATGTGTCTGTTTCCAGAAAAAACTTCCATGTGTGGAGAGAGAGAGAAGTTTCCCAAGTCTAATTACATGTGTAGGTCTCTGGGCCGTCACAGTGACCCAAATAAGCAGCTCCTCTCCTGGAGGACCGGGTTAAAATTAGAGCCTGCTGATGTTTGGAGCTTTTGCTGGAAGCTGCAGCAGAAAACCATGGGCTTCATGTCAACGACACACGTAGTAAAATTCTTCTGCTGCAGAATTACAGCATCTGTGATCCTCGGTCTGGTCCTGGATTATCTGTAGGAAGTGCCGGCTGCAGAGGAAGTGCTGCGTGGACCTGGACCGCTGTGGGAGACTGAACCTCAGTTTGAGTCTAGTCGCTCGTTCACATGTTTGTTGTTCTCTTCAGAACCCACTCAGTCACTCACACCGAGGACAGACGAGCAGGATGTGAATCATCAACGTTTTACTGTAACACCGACAGATCTTCGACAGATATCCACAGTGGGAATCTTTGAGGCCGACGTGTGGGTGCAGCAGATTTAAATCTGGTCACTGGAGAAAAAAAAAAAAAAAAAAAAGGAATATGGTGCACGACAAAACAATTTGCCGAGAACAGTCAGA